ATCAAAGACCCTTTTAGAACATTTTAACATTTTAGAACCTGGCGCAGTGGGTAGCACAATTGCCTCACAGCAAGAAGATCACTGGTTCGATTTCTGTGTGAAGTTTGCATGTTCTCTCTATGTTTGCTTGGGTTTCCTCGGGGTGCTCCGGCTTCCCCCGCAAGTCCAAAAACATTGGTGAATTTGGTAAGCTAAAATTGTTCATAGTTTATGTGTGTGAATGAGTGCATGTGGAAGTTTCCCAGTGATGGGTTGCAGCTTGAAGGGCATCCGCTGCATAAAACAAATGCTGGATAAGTTGGCGCTGGCGGTTTATTCCACTGTTGCGACCCCAGGTTAATAAAGGGATGTCGAAAAGAAAATGAATGCATGAATGAATGAATGTGAACCAAACATTTTCATAATATAAAGAACATTTTCCACTATGAAGCACCTTTTGTGGATTGAAAACATCCCACGGAACGTTCACTGTCGGTGCCATTTACTTTTAAGAGCATATTTAACAAAATTTCAAGGAAAATTGTATTTCTTAGTTTGTGACTGACTACTTTTAAGAACCTAAAGGTGAAGTCCTGCCCGCACCCATTAAAATGATCACACACACACTCCAGTGTAGCCTCAGGTTTGTTTGAAAGCAGGAGTAACAAGAACTAAAGACTGGAAACACAGTCTGAGAGGAGCGTGCGCAACCATCTCTTCTCTCTCTGGATGATGGGAGGCAGGGCATGTTGCCATGGAGACGCTGGTACAGGGGTAGCAGTGCCCAGGGGAGCGATGGAGCTCGGATAGCGGGATGTGCTGGCGAGTGTGATACTCATCATCCTCAGTTCAGTAGACCATGATAAATTCTTGTTTTCGATGTGTCTAATCAGCCAGCGTTACTCGGTAATACTGTGCAAATGAGAGCGCTTCCCTTCAAAATCGAGCGAACGATTTTTAGGCTCGATATCCGTCACTGGACTGCTTTGACAAACGTCTGAAATCTGAAGTTAATTAGCTTCTCAAAACTGTCCCATGAGGCAATGCTGTGTTTGTTTCAGGCCTTAATCAACGCCTTATGGCGTAACCGAAACTAGCTTGGAATAAATAAGTAAATGAATACATTCAACACAAAATATTGCTTCAGCCTCATTAAACTTCTACTAGATAATCATTTGGAAGATATTATAATAAACTTTTAAGATATTTTGGGATCATTAGCCTAATATTTAAAAGCCTATGTTGTCATGTATATTAAAATGTAAATGTGCAGTATATATTATCATATTACGTTTTTACTTGTTCTTTTATATTTCTAGATTTAAGTCAAATTGTATTTATTTTTTATTTGTTTTTAAACTCATTTAAAATTATTTCACCCAAATTTATTTACTTTTATTAACTTTTTAAGGCTTATTTTTAAATACATTTTAGTTAAACATGATTTTATTTAATCAATGCATTTTTAAACTTAATTTGTGTTTATTACATTTTAATTATTATTATTTTTAGATTTTATTTATTTAGATTTAGATTTTATATAAATTTTTTTTATTTAGATATTTTTTTTAAATTAAAAAAAATATAATATAACTTCTTAAAAATATATAAACCTATAATTAATTTAAATAAATGTATTCAATCATTTAAAACATTGTCATTTTCATAGTGAACTTGAAGCCACTGGAAGTCTTTTATTCACTCTTGGAAAAGTGTAAATGGTGGATTAACTTTGTTAAAAACTAAAGTTGTGTCTTCAGTTTCGGGCTCAGGCACACTTTGTACTCGCACTTCAAGCATACTGTGCCAAAGCCCAACCGAACCACGCTCTGGCACACCTCTTCCAGCCGAGCCAGGGCCTGCCAACTGAACCATGCCTGGGCCTGATTCGGAACACTCACTTGTCAAACGAACCAGGAAACGCATCTGTGCACGCTTCGTATAGCATTGTGTGAGTGCACCCTTTAAGTTAACTTAAGAAATGTAAACTACTTAAACAAATTAATTAAGCTGTCCCGGGACAAAAATTTTAGTTAAGTAGCTCATTTTAGTTAAGTAGCTTGAACAAGAAGCGAAATGTTTTTAGTTTTATTTATAGTTAGTGAGTCTTTTATAGGCCTATTGTTTTTATTTTTAGTTTATATAGCCTATTGTTTTCTTTCTTTCTTTTTCTTTAAAATGGTTGTCTTCAAAACTTTCCCACCTACACTGTAGCTCTTACAGCACTCCCTCACGGGTCCCCGGTTTGAAACTCCTGTTCCAGACATGCATCTCGAGACTCTCCCGTCGACATTTAACGAGCTCGGTCATTAGCTTTACTGCGCCGCTCAGGGTCAAGCCACAGGCGCGCTCACGAACACTCCAACACTTCTCCGACACAAACACTTTCACCCACAAATGCACCTGGAAGGTCCTCGGAAATGCTTTTAATGCACACGGATGTCTGACACACTTCACTGACAGCAGCAGCAGCCTCTTGTGTGCAAACCCGACCCCATAAACACATTCCCTGTCTGAAAAGAGTTGGGTGAACACATTAAACCGGCTGCAAGCAAAGTGCACACGCGCTGCATGCTTTAATCATCAGCAAAGAGGAAAGAGGTCACCACAGCGCTGTCTATTTAAGACCTATTGGGAATTTTAATGAGAAAGTGTGTTTTTGATGATGGGACGGCATCTTTTCATTTATCACAGAGCTTTTATCCTGGTTTGTTATGTAGTTTTACCACAGGGTCACGCTGTATCTCTCTTCTCTAGGCGGTGCATCAGTGATATATCTGAAAAAAATAAATAAAGAAAGAAACTCCTCCAGGTCCTATTGGATCCGCGGTTCGATGCGATGGATGTGCGCTAATGGACCTGCATACAGACCACAGGAACAAAAGCACAAGGCCTTTGCTATTATGGAGCTCGCGCGCGCTCTCGCAGTCTCGCGCCCTGTTGCACGCGCCTCGCTTTGACACTCGTCGTTGCCGCGGAGAGTGCGGTTGCTTGGCAACGAGTGAAAGCCGAAATCCCTGGGTAACTCGCCGCCCCGACCTGCCTCACATCCCAGCTCGCTTATTAACTTTATATCATTGGCATGGAGGAAAAAAGAGTGGCTAATTTAAACGAGCATCATAGCTATTTGGATACAATTTATATCTGACCCGAGTAGTAAAAAAAATAATATAAAACATTTGCGCTATGTGCGGGAGTTATAGAGATGGGTGTTTATGAATGAGAAGCATCTTTCAGTGATGCACTAAATGAATAATGAACGGATGCATTGGGGGGGAAACAGCCGCGGAGTGCCGCCTTTTAGAGAAGATATTGATCAGCTACGAACAAAAGCGTTACAATGCAGTGCAATTGTATGGAGGATAATTCGACAGAATAGCTCGCTGTTTGTGGACGTTGTTTGGTGTTGTGTTTGCAAGTGGATGTTTTGTTATAATAATAATAATAATTTATTTCTAAACTAAAAATTATTTTATTATTATTTTTTTTATTTAACATATAAAATATATAAAAAACACCAAACGTTTAAGATCATAATATTATTACATAATAGCCTACATAATTATATGTTTGTATAAATATATTAATGATGATAATAATAATAATAATAATAATAACAATAATGTATTTCTAAACAGTAATACAAATTTTATCTTCATATTACATTATTATTATTATTATTTTTTAATGTAACATATAAAATATATAAAAAACACCAAAAGTTTAAGATCATAATATTATTACATAATACATAATTATATGTTTGTATACATATATTAATGATAATAATAATAATAATGATAATAATAATAATAATAATAATAATAATGTATTTCTAAACAGTAATAATAATTTTATCTTTATTTTACATTATTATTATTATTATTATTATTATTATTATTATTAAACAATAAAAATACAATTTGTATACAAACATCAACAATTAAGATCATAATAATGTTACATAATACATATCATGTTTGTATAATAAATGAATGATAAAAATAATAATGTATTCCTAAACAGTATTATTATTAATAATATTTTTATCTTTATTTTACTTTATTATTATTATTTCTCAACATACATAAAAATGTATGCAAACACCAATAATTATGATAATAATATTACACAATGCATAATATCATGTTTGATTGTATAATAATTATAATAATAATGCATTTCTAAACAAAAATAATAATAAAAATAACCCTTTTATCTTTATTTTAATTTTATTATTATTATTATTATTATTATTATTATTATTATTATTATTATTATTTAACATGCATTCAAAATATATACAAACACCAACAATTGATCATAATATTACATAATGCATAATAATATGTTTTTATAAATATATAAATAATAATAATAATAATAATAATGTATTTCTAAACAGTAATAATAATTGTTTTGTTTATTTTACTTTATTATTTTTATTTTTATTAATATTTAATGTAAAATAAATCAAATTTGTATACAAACATCAACAATTAAGATTATAAAATATTACATAAGACATAATAAAATGTTTGTGTAAATATATTAATAATAATAATATTAATAATATTAATAATATTAATAATATTAATAATAATAATAATAATAATTATTATTATTATTATTATTACTATTATTATCTTTATCGTTGGTGTTATTGTGCACACATTTTAATTTAAAAAATAGTAATAATATACAAAGAACAACAAAAATAATAACAATATTTGTTATTATTTATTTAATATTATTATGATATTTTATTAACTTTGTTGTTTAAATTCAAATTTTTCCTAATTATTCCTTATATATATATATATATATATATATATATATATATATATATATATAGCTCTTTAAGTAGCCTATATAACGTATATAAATTACATTGTTAATATCTTGTTATGAGCAAACATGCCGAATCTTTGCTTTTAAGAAGGTCTGTCGGGGCATTTTAGAGAGCCTTCTTAATTGATTTCGGGAGGGTGTTACTTGGTATCTGTTGAGGAGAAGCAGAAGGAGGAGAGAGGGGGACTGGAGAGGGTTGCATTGTATGAAGATCCGATGAAAGACAGCAGGCTATCGCAATAAGAGGGCAAGAGAGAGAGGGGTGGGGGCAGAATGACGCTGATTCGGGGCTATTGATCTCTCCCTCCCCTCTATATGGGGTCAGTAGTTTGATCGGAGCGCGCGCAGGAACACCGAAGAGACACACGCGCTTTTACCATGTAACATGAAGCGGTGCGTGTAGACAGATCCAACCGGACACTCATCACCAATCCAATCCCGTCCGTCCAACCTGATGACAGGAAATAATAAGATTATCAAGCAGGACAGGAGAGCGACGCGTTATATCTTTGGAGAAAAGTAACTGGTGTGGATTTGACAGATGACGGTGCGCTCGAGATCCACAGATCTGACCATGAAGCCGTCCAGAATCTCCGTGATGATGATGTTCATCTTCGCATCTGTTCATATCTCGTGCCCATCGCAGTTTCCCAGTCCGCTCATGTAAGTTCTTTGATGTTGTTTTCGCGTCAACTGGTGATTAAATACAGCTTTTTTCCCCTTTCATGCAGCATCTTTATGTCTCTTTCAACATGCGTGTTTGTAAGTTTTAGTGAGAGTGTGGATCGTGCTGGATGGACAAAACACAAAACAATTGATTTAGTTTGTGTATTTCCAGCCTTATGGTCAATTATAACCCAACAAAAGCTGAAATGTATACTTAGATATGATTCTGGATGTATGTTTTGTTTACAGTTGTTTAATAGTCAAGCAGATACATCCACAATCAATATTATGAATTTGCTGAATGATTAAAAGGGAGGAGTCATAGTGTACATAGCCTACCGTTATTGATTTGTTTAATGAAAAAGCTTGTTTCCAGGACCAGTTCACTCGATTCTGTTTTTATTCACACACTCTCATGTTGCACAAAAGCTGACTTTATTCTGGTGAATTGTTTTTTTTTCCTCGTGACAGCTGTCAAAATCCAACCAAAAGAACAGACAGACCATTTCAATGCGCTCATATTATTGGCCCATAAACATTTCCTGTTTGTTGTAACTATTTCAAAACTGTAAAAAGAAGCAATTCAATTATAACTTACTGTTAAAACAGCTATCATAACATTATTTATCAATATGTGGCTCTTTTTCAATTCTCGAAAGCTCTAGAAATTAAAAATATTACATGAAATACGTTGGGACTATTGTTTTTGTTTACATCCCTCAAAATAGTCTACAAAAACGTTTTGTGTACTTTGATCTGAAAAGTTGCGACTGAATCAAAAGTTGATTCATAAAAGAACAAGAATTGATTCAACTGACTGAAAAAAAAAAATTATGTCACATATATAATTATTTCATTCGATAATTTTTTCTTAATCACCAAATTGCATTCTAGACATTAGTTTCCAGAGCTTGATGTTGCCTTGAAACAGCCATTTAGCCATATTAACATGTCACTTGCATTTTTTAACAAGTTCCTCCTGTGATTTTCATTTCCTCATTGAAAATCTAAGAATGGGATTTTGTAAGCATCAAATTAAATTTATGCATTTTATATTTATTGTCTGATAAGCACACTGATTTTGGTATTGCTATGGCTGCACGATATTGATTTTTTTTTTTACATTGTAATACATTTTTTCCTCGCGATTATATACTGTGATGTGAATACAATTTCATCAGATGGCCTAAGTAAATGACTTAATTTGAAAATGGATGGGGCAGCACAGTGGTGCAGTGGGTAGCACAGTCACCTCACAGCAAGAAGGTTGCTGGTTCGAGCCCTGGCTGGGTCAGTTGGCATTTCTGTGTGGAGTTTACATGTTCTCCCCGTGTTTGTGTTGATGTTCTCTGGGTGCTCCATTTTCCCCCACAGTTCAAAGACATGCGCTATAGGTGAATTGAATTAGCTAAATTGGCTGTAGTATATGTGAGTGCATGCATGTGTGGTAATGGGCCAGTGATGGGTTGTGGCTGGAAGGGCATCCACTGCGTAAAAACATATGCTGGATATGTTGATGGTTCATTTTGCTGTGGTGACCCCAGACTAATAAAGGGATTAAGCCACTAAAAAAAAAAAAAAAAAATTAATGAATTTGAAAAGACGTTACCTTAGATTGATTGGGATGTAGACATCGGCTGGTATAAGTTTCTGATGGTATGATATCCTTTTCATGGATCCTGGTATTGTGATTACTGCTGTACTGCTGATTACGATGTTTTTCCCTATTGATCACAATGTAGTTTATTTTAGGAAATATTTATAATATTTTGGAACAGTAAACATGTCAATCTAAACCATTTATTCATTTTCTTTTTGGCTTAGTCCTTTTATTAATCCGGGGTTGCCACAGCAGAATGAACCGCCAACTTATCCAGCAAATGTTTTTACGCAGTGGATGCAATTTTAGCATACCTCAAAACCTTGACTTTTCCAAACCGCGGTAAACCTTGAAACCGGTTATCATCTAATGCATATTTGGAATGATTTGTTTGAGAGTGAAATTTAAATATATTTATGTAATTTATTATATACATATAATAAACAAACTGCAGTCATGAATAAACGCAACTGAGCAAATGTTAAAGTGAAATAAACAGTGCTTTATGGTTTTCTGGGGAGAGTCTTAACAGTATTGGTAGAGAAATTGAATAATCAAATGAAAAGAGCATTGCATAGTCTTCATCATGTAAATATTTCAATACAATTATCTTTATTAAACTTCTTTATGCTCTTTGTATTCGATTAAAATACTTTAAACTGTTAAAATGGGCCTTAAAAACATTTGCAGATTATGATAAACTTTCACTCTAATAAAAGTAAATTTGCAGTGTCTCCACAAATGTCATGTGTTTTGACCTGTGGTCGTTTATAACCCCAACTCAATATCTTGCAATGTGACTAAAGCGGACACGCATAATGCGAAATTGATGCTCAAACGATATATTTTGCAACCCTATTGCCAACGTCATGGCTTAAAAGCCAAAAAGTTGCTTACCATGAATGTTATAAACATATCAGCAATCTCAAAATGCTAATAAACTCACAAAACAGCTCCGTATAGTAACGCCCTCGTTATATCATTGACTAATATGAAAATGTTCATATGATTTATTTACAATACAGTTTGTAAATTAATATTTTCTGTCTTTTGGTAGAGATATTATATGTGAGACTTGCTTTGTTTACCAAACAAGTGGATCTAAATGCATTTGCATTGTAAACATTAAATACAAATTTAAAAAGAACATTGTGTTTATTTCCTATCTTAAGTTTTTAGTTACAACATTCCCAAAATCATTCCACATAAATCCATCGATTTTTTTTACAAAATTCTGCACAGAAATAGCTAAACATATTTGCAGATTCTGTCTTGCCCTAGTTGTAGGTTAATCTTCTGCCTTCTGGGGTTTCTATTTCACCTTTTGTAATCTTTTGATTGAAGACTGTCATTCAGCATTTGATATTTAAGCAAAAATGGCAAAATATCTTATTTTAATTAACAAAGATGTCCAGATTAATTTATCTTTAATGCAGCACTATTAAAGAGATGTGCATTTCGGTCATCTATGGCAAACACATGATGTGTTGGTGAGGACAGATGTGACTCGACAGATGGTTGAGCATTTTTTTGTGTTTGAGTTGACACGTCTTTTGTTAACCTGATGGGTATTTAAATGAGTCTGACAAGTTGCACCTCATGAGAAGGATAACAAATAACTTTAAACTGCTGTGGATTTATAATTGTTGTTTATAAGTGCTGTACTTAAAACTCATATTTATGTTGAAATCGATAACTCTGCTGCTCATCACAATTATCAGTTCACTATTCTTTAGTTTTTTTCTGTTATATATATTCAATTCAATTCACCTTTATTTGTATAGCGCTTTTACAATGTGAATTGTGTCAAAGCAGCTTCACATAGGAGATCATAGTAAATTGAAACAGTGTCAGTTCAATTTTCAGTTTAAGTTCAGTTCAGTTTAGCTCAGTTCAGTGTGGTTTAATAATCACTACTGAGAATCCAAACACTGAAGAGCAAAATTCATCGATGCGCAGCTCTACAGGTCCTGAACCAAGCAAGCCAGTGGTGACAGTGGTGAGGAAAAAACTTTACCAATTGGCGAAAGGGAAGGAAAAAAAGAAAAGAAACCAGACTCCGTTGGGCACGACCATTTCCATTTCTCCGCTGGCCAAACGTCTTGTGCAGAGCTGCAGTCTCAGCGGTTGAGGACATCTATCTGTCATTACATCTGAGATGATCTGGCTTTGGGCGGCATGGTGGCTCGGTGATTAGCACTGTCACCTCACAGCGAGAAGGTCACTGGTTCATGTCCTGGCTGGGCCAGTTGGTGTTTCTTTGAGGAGTTTGCATGTTCTCCTGGTGTTTTCCTCTCTGTGCTCCGGTTTCCCCCACAGTCCAGAGACAAGCGGTTTAGGTGAATTGAATAAACTAAATTGGCCGTAGTGTATGAGTGTGTGTGAATGAGTGTGTATGGGTGTTTTTTAGTACAGGGTTGCATAAAGCTGCATAAAGCATATGGCTGAATAGCTAGTGGTTCATCTGTGCTGACCTCTGAAATAGAGACTAAGCCAAAAGAAAATGAATGAATAATCTGGCCTTATTGTCTGCCACTGTTATGGTTTTAGCTGGTGTTTGTGACAGCAGGACAAGTGAAAAGGCAGTTTTTTGTTTCTTTACTGTTATAGTGTTTACATGCTACATTGTTCTGCATTTATATATGATTTGTTAATAGTGAGTCTTCAAATGGTTCACTGATTTACATAATTTGTTTAGAGGGAGTCTCCAGTAAATGATTCACTAGTGTTAATCTGAGAGGGGTTCAGTGTGTGAATGTTGTTTCACATATTTTCACTTGTCTTATCTTAAATTATCATCAGAGTGATTATTAGAGTATATGACACGTTTTGGTAAATGCATTTCGTTAGAATATAAACATTCATTCTTTTACTTTTATTACTTAGGGAAATAAAAATCTAGTACTTTTGTACTTTGAATCAAGTAATATTGAAAAGGAGAACTTTAGACTTTTAATATTTTATAAGGGTATGTCTGTATTTTTACTCGAGGGTCTAATTTGTGAACATAGCCCATCATTCCAAAAGATTACAATACAGAATTGTGTATTTTTAACTGATTAAGTCAAAAATCTGTTGCATTACAATTTACAAATATATTTTGGTGGTCAAAAGTTTGCATTAGGCTCTTTTAATTTGAAGCCAAAGAAAAATGAATGAATGAATGAATGATCTGGCCTTATTGTCTGCCACTGTGACTGTTTCAGCTGGTGTTTGTGACAGCAGGACCAGTGAAAAGGCAGTTTTTTTTATTTACTGTTGTAGTCTACGCTGCATCATTCTGTATGCTTTTATATAATCGACACGCTATCATTTCTGAATGCAATAATACTTTTACATTATTACTGTAGTCTCACATTGGGTTTTAATGCCTGATGTGTAGAGCGTTAATGCAATG